CAACACTTCCAATAGCACTAACAATGGATCCTCCAGTAAATGAGTTGCTTCCACTAGCAGCAGCTTTACTCCCTTAGAATCTAGCAGGAGTAGAGTAAGGCTTACTCCTACTCGAAGCATCAGAACTTGCAGCAAGCATAAGACCTCCAGCTCCCTTGTAGAAAGCAGCACATGCACGGTTGTCACGGTCAAAGATGCGACACTTGTTCACTAAGGTGGCAAAATGGTAGATCTCCTGATAGTTGATCGCTGTCTTCCCTTCGGGACGTAATACATTCACAAACTTAATGCATTTAGCACGTTCACCACCCTCACCATGATAGTGGGAACAATAACGAACCAATGAGTCAAATTTGGCAGCATACTCTGCTACTGTGTTATTCCCTTGCTTCAGTTCAAGGAACTCCACTTCCTTCTAACTCCTCACATCATCCGAGAAATACTTCTCAAGGAAGACCCTCTTGAAGTTGTCCCAATTCAAGTGCACCCCTCCATCAATCATCCTCTGAAGTGCTAATTCCCACCAAAAGTGGGTATCAGCAGTCAACATGAAAGTGACCAACCTCACCTTCTAAGCGAGAGGACACTCCATGACATTGAAGATCTTCTCAATCTTTGTTAGCCAATTCATTGCAGCATCTGGGTCATATTCTTCTTTGAAGGTAGGTGGATGATTTCGCTGAAATTGCTCCAACCAGTTAGGAGCGCCTCCAGCCCTATCATTATTACTCATAGCTTGTGCTAACGCTTGAAGGGCATCAGCAATCGCACGATCATTTCTACCAGCCATAATCTAAGAAAATAGTACACACAATTACATAAACAATAAACATAATCAATCACCACACTAGCATATCATTAAGTTCCACAATCAATTCATTCCATCATTCATCTACCAACAAGCATAGTAGACTCGTAACTCACGGTCGATTGGATCGACCTGCTCTGATACTACTAAATGTGACACCCTCTACCCCACATACATAATACACAATAAATATAAAGTACATTCTTGAGTAAATAAAACTTTCTTAAGAAAGTAAGGTTTCAAAACACATAGATAGAGAGTTTACATTCATATTTCGCAAATCGTAGTCCAATGCAAAAATAATGACAAAATAAAACATCAATCTTTCCAAAACATAATAATAGTAATGAAACTCCAATGCTAAACCTAGCTAAGCCCCGATGTCACATATCCTATCAGAGCATGCCCAACTGAAGCCTAAGTCTCATCACCAACATCCTCATGTTGATGATCACCTGCAACATAATTTAAACACATACAAAGAACAACAAGGGAGTGAGAAATATCTCACTCGGTTCCAGGTGCAGAAATAAAGGTTAGATAGCACACACATACACAATAAACATAAGTCACATGTAAACAATACACATACACAATCAAATATCACATGTACACTCATTTATCATGCAATGATGTCATGCACTCGACTCATAAATGCATGCATGTGGCGCCATACGGAAGTTTCAAGTTTTTCATCATTTCATCACTGTTGACCCAAGGTACACCTAGAATAGCTTGTTACATCACTGGTATACGGCCTAAGCGGCATACCTAGAATAGATCATTTCATCACATAGCTTGTTACATCACTGGTATGCGGCCTAAGCGGCACACCTGGAATAAGTCATTTCATCACATAGCTTGTTATATCACTGGTATGCGGCCTAAGCGGCACACCTGGAATAAGTCATTTCATCACATAGCTTGTTACTTCACTGGTATGCGGCCTAAGCAGCACACCTGGAATAAGTCATATATGCACATGATGCATGTCACACATTCACTATTTCATTAACTCAACATTTCACTTGTCATGGAATTTCACGTCTCTTATCATCACATTTCACATTATCATTCACATCATGTCTCATGTCATTTGTTCATATTTTACATAGTCATATTCATAATTGTTCCTCATAGGATTCCGTACAAGAACCCACAGAGCACTTTAATTCATATCAAAACATATCTAATTTTGAAATCAAATACATATTTACACTCTACATCACACAAGGAACACAACAGAGCATTCAGAAAGCAAAACAGAAAATACTTATATTTTGCCTATTTCTCATAGGGTTCTCTCAAGAACCCATAGAGCACTCTAATTCATATCAAAACATATTCATTTTCAAAATCAATCACATATTCATATATCGCATCCAATAAGGAACACAACAGAAGAATCAAAAAGCAAAATAGAAAATATTCATATTTTGTCTGTTCCTAGAAGCATGCATCAGGCAAGGGATTGGGGGCCAATCCTACTACCCAACAATTATTCCCACACCCCGAGTGAGGTTTCTCACTCCCCCCTTACCTAGATAAGCAAAAGGCGAAGTTAGAGTGAAATCTGGTTGATCTCCTTCTCTTGGTTCTCCTTGGTCTCCAAAAAGTGTGTCCAAAAATAGCGCCAGAGTGCTCTATTTATAGATTTCAGGAGTGGCCAGAACGGCCTGTTTCAGATCTGGAACGGCCCGTTCTGGATCCTTTCATCATGTAGAAAATTCACATCTGGAATGGACCGTTCTCAAACCAGAACGGCCCGTTCCGGAGATGAGTTTTAACTCACAATGTCCATATTTGGAACGACCCGTTCCCAACTTTGGAATGGCCCGTTCTCAACTAGGGTTATAGGCCATTTTGGTGTTTTGGAATGGACCATTCCAGTTTGAGAATGGCCCGTTCTGATCAACCAAAAATAGGTCTTTTCAGTAGTTTGGAATGACCTGTTCCAATTTGAGAACGACCCGTTCTGGGCTACTAAATTACCCCCAATAAAAAGTATGAAAACTGGGGTGTTACAATAGTTCCCTCTACACCTGAGGGCATGAGCGTGTAAACATAGGAAATGATTGACGTACGACCGACCCAAGAATGGCCTTAGAGCCTACAAGCTTTGTCAAAAATCACACTCAAGGTGATAACCGATTACTCTTGCTTGAAATACTGTGTCAAACCTTAGAGTTTGTCAGGTGACGGCGACAAAGGTACTAAGTCCCTATGGTAGGGGCACCTTGGGGGCCTTTAAAGACTAGTGGGGATAATTAGAACCTTCCTATACAACGCACTTTCTTTGACAGGGACCCCAGACCATGGATTTGAACATGACTGTTTGTGGGTGTACGTTGATTGAGCATGTGTGTGTGCATTTGTTTATTTATATTATTTGTTTCAAAAAGAGTGGATTAAAATTTTAAAATAAATAAGCAGATAATAAAGAAATAAAATAAAAAAAGAAAAGAAATTTATGCCCCTTTGTACAATCTTAGGTCATCATTCCATTAACATCATATAGGTAGCTTCTTATTTTAAAGATAATGAATAAAAGAAATCCCTATCTTTACCATGCATCTCTCCTCTTAGATAATGGAAACATGATAACGTTTAGGCAAAAAAATCATGACATGCATTCTAGATTAGCTCATTAATTCCCATTCATTTTATTTTATTAGTTAAGGAATGATTAGGTAACTACATGTATAGAAAGTTAAGAAAAATGAATGTTCTAACATACGAAAGTATCTGGGCTCTAAAGAAAGGCCCAAATCGATTTTGAAAATACTATGGTTGGGCCCTTACTTTGATATGTCTGTTGAAGCAAGACTTCTTAGAATCTAATATGCACTTTTTGAAAAAAAAAAAAAAAAAAGCCCACTATGACAAAAATGTTTTATTAATAAAATTTTTGGGAAAATTATAAGTCTAATAAGATGAAAGTCTTGATACAAAAAAAACAAATAGTGCAGACTTAGGCATTTATAAGACGTGTTTCACACAAACATCAGCCCACTTAAAAATTTCTTTAGATTTTCGCTTGATACTATCAAAAGCTATTTAAGCATTCACTTATAAACAAATCAATGAGACTGATATTTATTGATTCTTAACTCTCACTATGATGGAAGACCATGGGCTAAAGGCCCAATTACTAGAGTTATGGCCAATAACATTTATGATGGATGGGCTAGCTTAGAGGATGATGAGCTTTCTAAGCCCAAGCTACTCTTTTCATGGTCCACCATACTTTGAGGCCATATTGTATATAGATTAGGGTTAAGTCTTTGTATTCCTTTTTGCCTTGTAATTTTGGGCGAATTTGAGACTAGGCTTTACATAGCCAATATTGGTCTTGTTGTAACCTGAAAAATTCTGATCTTACGACCAATGGTTTAGAATCTCATTAATTAGGGAATGCCTAGAAACTAGACTAATCCTTAATTAATGGTTTTGAAAAATGATTCATGGAGTCGCCACCAATGTTTTACTCAAAACATTGGAAAAAGAAAAGATTTTTAAAAGTCTAATAATGGCCTTAACAACCAAAATTAGGTTCGGGGGTTGGTTACATGTAGGGAAGGTATTAAGCACGCCCACAACGCCCTAAATTGGTACCCTATGATGAAGTTAACATGATAAGAATTAATGGATTAAATATTAGATCCCCTTTTATTAATAATTATTTACATGCTTGAAATTTAAATTACACGGTTTGTCCTAAGACGTCTACATGATGATTGTTTATTTGGAACAGTCTTTATTAAGGTAAAAGGAGATGAAGGAAAGAAAAGAATGTTAGTTGAAATACCTCTTAATCAAGCTTTATTAGATCTTCAAACTTGTGGATCTTTAAACGCTTTTTGGCTGCCTTTCACACTACAAAATACCTCACAGAATCTCAAGAAATACATGAGGGAGGAGAAAGAGAAATTTTGAATTATGTCATACTTTCTAGATGAAATTTTTTGGCCTCTAGAGTAGTGCCCGAGTCTACTATTTATAGATATTAGAACTGACTAGAATGGTCTGTTCTGGATTCAGAACAATCTATTCTGGATTGTTTCGTTATGAGTTAAATTTGAACCTGGAATAACCTGTTCTGGTGTTAGAATGGCTCGTTCCAGATTTGAACTTGTCTCATAACAAACTATGCTGGAACGGCCCATTCTGGTTGTTCTCAGCTAGGGTTTTTAGGTCTTTTTAGTAGTTTGGAACAGTCCGTTCCGGGCTACTAAATTAAACATGTTTGGCTTTATGCCTTCTAATGTCATATCATGTTGTTTCCATGCTTCGAGAGCTCCTTTCCTTCATAGTGGAAGTCCATTTTTTTGTTTACAAGTCTGGACAAAATTGGGTGTCTACAACTACCCCTCTTTACTTGTCCTTTAGGATAGCTAGGTGTTTGCTTTTCCAAAGGTAAGTAAAGACATAGACATTTCATCCGGGTCTTTTCTCTCGCTTTGGCAGTAGACGCCTCCACGTTATTTCCTTCGGATAGATGGTGTTTACTTGTACCCTTGTCCCCTAGAGCAACTGAGTGTTGGTGAATGCTCCGTCAGGTGTAAGAGGTGGTAAATTGCCCCATCTAGGCCTCCGATTTGGTGTAGATGCTTCCTGATACTTCCGCTTGTCCCATGATAGTGTGATCTTTATTCGTGGCTCAATGTCAAGGGAGTATGTTCTGAGCTCAACCTCTTCAGGTTAGACTGATATTTGAGGCTTCACACTACAAGAAAAACTGTTATTATCTATGAAATGTTACCTACAGAATTTTTTTGGTAGATAATTTTTCGTTATTTTCAAAATATTACCTACAAAAATTTTTCTGTAGATAATGTTTAGTTATCTACGGAATATTACCTACGAAATTTCTTTTTGTAGACAATGTTTAGTTATTTACGGAATATTACTTACAAAAAAATTTTTGTAGATAATTTTTAGTTATCAATGGAAATTTTTAGTAAATAACATATGGTGGGTGGGTAATGAAAAAATTCAGATTACTTACGGAATTTTTTCTGTACATAATTTTTAATTATTTACAAAATTATCTACAAAATTTTTTCTGTAGATAATGTTTAGTTATCTACAAAATATTACCTACAGAATTTTTTCTGTAGACAATTTTAGTTATCTACGAAATATTACCTACAAATTTTTTTTTGTAGATAATTTTTAGTTATCTACAAAAATTTTCAGTAAATAACATGGTGGGTGGGTAATAAAAAAATTCAGATTACCTATGGATTTTTCGTAGATAACCTTCGCGGGATGCAGGGCAAAATTTTTTATGCTCTAAGTGATGTAAAGAAAAGTTATATTACTGATGAAATATTTCTAACAAATTTATATTTGTCGAAAATGTAAAATTTTTTTACAAAAATTGACAATCATTTATTAAAAAAGATCATCAATAAAATTTTAAATATCTATATATATATATAGTTAATCACCTATACACTGCTAGTGTAAAGTTTTTTAACACTGGCAACCAATCATATTTTTTAATAGTGTCATGTCATTTACTTATTTAATCAAATAAAAGTAAAATAAAATAATTTAAAAGATATGATTGATTGTCGGTGTAAAGACAATGTATGGATGATTAAATCATATATATATATATATATATATAGAGAGAGAGAGAGAGAGAGAGAGAGGAGGAGGAGGAAGAATCAAATGACTCACAAAATAACTCTTAGTAAAGTTACTCCATTCAATAACTCATGTTGTATGTTGAATTTCATCGATCCAATTATTAAATTAAAAAAGTTATTAAATTTTACTAATAATTAATATAGAAAAAATTGATTAGCTTTGGAATAAATTATTTGCAAACAATATAGTTGAAAAATTAATTATTTAAATTATTTAACTAGAATCTTATTGACAATTTACTATATGATCTTGATATTTTTGTATAACTAAAATCTGGTTTTAAATTTGATATGAAAATATTATGATATAATTAGATAAGATTTTAAATTAATATTTTATTAACGGTTGATAATTAGAAAATAAAACAAGAATAAATACATTTTTTGAATTTTATATCTTAGATTTAAGATGAATAAATATATTAAGTTAATTAATAATTTATTTAAAATGTTAAAATTTAATTTATAAAAATAATATTTTAAAAGAGAAGGGTTATAATAATACCGGTGTAACTTTTACTAAGTGTTATACCGCTCAATAACTTTATATTAAATGTGAATTTTATAAATTCAACCATTAGATTGGAAGTTTTTTTACTCTTAGCTCATATATACAAAAAAATTTATTAATTCAAGATGATTTGATACTTCATTCTTGTAAAACAAAATTGACGTAATATATACATTTCAAAATATACTAAAATATGAACACTTTGACTACCTTCAATTTGTTGTTCAATTTTAACAAAATTTGATATAAACATATAAAGTGATATGAACTTTCAATCTAACGATTATTTACAAAATTCATATTTAATATAAAGTTATTGAGCGGTGTAATACTTAGTAAAAGTTACACCGGTGTTATTATAACCCTTATTATTTTAAAATATTTAAATTATTATTTAAACTTTTTAAATTTATAATAAATAATTTAAATTGTATCATAATATTAATTTTAAATAGAAATAAGTAGATTGTTAATTATAAAAGTAAGTATATATATAAATAAAGATTAATTAAATATAATATAATTATTATTATTGCTAATATAATTATTATATATATTTTTATATTTTTATAGCGGTCCGGACACACCGAAATGAGAGGGATCCAAAGATAATATAAGTATGAGATTCTATAGTTGAGGATGACTTAAATGAATTAATTTGTACTACTTATACTAACAACATGCATCTGCTTTTCGATAGCTTATTTCATCAGAACTCCACAGTTAAGTGTGTTTGACTTGGAGTAATATAGGGATGGGGGGCCTTCTAGGAAGTTTCCCAGAAATTGTGCAGTAATGACAAAAAACGTTAAAAAGTGAAGTGTCGTGAAATAACATCCTTAAGAGGCCAAATATGAAAGTTGTTACATTAATAAATTTATTAAAATTAAACAAAAAATTTCCTACGAAAATATTCGTGGATAAGTTATCTACAGAAATAATCCGTAGATAATTCTATAGGTGAGTCTTTTAAATCTTATTCGTAGATATAATCCGTAGATAACAACTTTCGTGGGTAATCTGAAGTTGCATGAGAAACACATAGAAGGAGGGTTGAATATGTGTGTGAGTGAACAAAGGAGTTTTAAAAACTTTTTTGCAATTAGGCTATTGTTTTCGTCCAGTAAAAGATATTGGGGAATGCTGAACTGAGACTACCCACGATTAGTTTTACAAAAACATATTCAGCCTGGGAGTTTCATCATTTATTCAAAGAAAGTGCTTCTTTAAACGAAAACCGTTCTTTAGGATAACAAGTTGAACAAATATGGTTTTCGTCTGGAGATGGTTTTAATAGGCGATAATCATTGGATGAAGTTTTCAGTGTATTAGATTAACCAAATAAAGTGTGTCTAAAACATTAAAGTATAGAGCAAGTATTTTTATATTGGTTCATACAAACTGAGCTACATCCAATCTTTTTCAAATGAAGGGTTCCACTTGATAATCAATGAAGTACAAGTATTGTTTGTTCAGCCTCTTCAGACTCACAATGAGTATTATAGACCACCTAGGTCACGACCACTCCTGGTCCCAAGTATTCTCAATCACTCCTGGCTCATCAACTTCACTTGTTGATGCTAGTATTCTTTACTCAGCCACTTATGGCTCCCAATCAGTATTATCGACCAACTCCTGGCCCGTTGACTTCACTCATTAACGCTAGTATTCTTTGATCAGCCACTTCAGGCTCTTAATGAGTATTCTCGACCACCTCCTGGCCTGCCAACTTCACTCACTAATGCTAGTATTCTTTAATTAGCCACTTCTGGCTTGTAGTGAGTATTCTTTGACAAGCCTCTCCAGGCTTTAAAAGTATTCTTCCCCTAGCCTCTTCAGGCTTTACAATATTAACTAGACAGGTTTGGTTTTAGTGTTTGGGTTACTCCCATAGAGAGGATACATAAGAATACACACTCACTAAGGTATGCAACCTTAGTCTTTACATCGATTGAGTGTTTGGTCGACTCTCACAAAGAGGATACATAAATTGGTACACTCACTAAGGTTTTTGTTCCTAAGATGCACATGCTTGGAACTCCTTAGTTTACAAAGATGAATACACTATGGTACATTTGACTCTATACGCTCTATCTATGGAATCGTTGCTTTGTGGGCTTAATATCACTATTGTTGAAAGAGCAAAGCAAAAATCCAGCCTTTTAAGGTTAGATATTGTGATATATATATTGTCCTTTAGAATTTTCCCGTTGCAAGTGTCCGTTGAAGCAGATATAGTCGTTTATGAATAGTTCGATCTTCTCATTAACGCTTGAGTTATTGCATAAAATGTTTCTTCTTGTGATAGACATTGTGTGTAGTCTTCTTTGCCTTGTTAGCAACTATGTATGAATTTAGTAGAGACCTAGGAACCTTTTTGTCCTTTTCTAGTCAAATAGCTGTAGAGTGTTGTCCTTATCTGAAAAAGTGATGTACTTTTTCTGACACATGCATGCTTTTGCCCCCGTTTTGGGCTAGGGCTAGCGGGGTGAGTGATGTCCCGCTACGTGAGTATTGTAGTGCCTCTCCAGGCGTCTTCATTGGAGTATGAGATGGGTGGTAGGGCTTATAGTGTTGTTCCTACCATGTGAGTATTATGATGTCTCTCCAAGCGTCTTTTGCTTGGATGTTGTGGCTATTCTTTTGTTGATGATCGAGTGTGGGCTATGATGTTGACTTTGATTTGCTTGGCCTTGTCCAGCTATCTGATCTGATTATTATTGTGAGGGGACCTTGCCCCTTGCTTGTGGACCGACCCCCAGGTTGAGGATTTCCTAACACTTTTATTTTTATTTTATAGCTTTAGCTTTTTTGATATGAAAAGTTTTGCCTTTTCTCGTGTTATTATTTTTTTGCCCTTTATTTCTCTTGCGTCCTTATTTTTTTGTATTTTGCGCATTTATATATATATTTTTAAATAAACAGATATGTGGGCACAAAAAATATAATCTGGTACATAAGATATACTTTTCAGAGTACAATGAGAGATAATCATGAA